TACATACATACGTACATACCTACAGACATCAAATAAAAGCAATGGAGGGGAGGAGGACACGGAACCTAATTTAGGAGCTCCTGCTGCTTTCCTTCGTGTTGCGCCATTGCTATTACTACAGAAAGACGAACATGTCTCCGAGAGAGGAGCGGGGAAGAAGAACGGGTGTTCTCTCCGCGCCCCCCCCCCCCCCCGCGGAAACATCTGAGATTCTCCAAGTAACCCTCGCCCCTCTGTCCCCCACCAAGAACCAAGAGACATGGGGGGTAATATGCCAAGCCACAAACACACAAGAACCTGTTGCATCCGAAATCCTCATCCCCAGCCACAAGAAACCGCAAAGGAGGTTCCAGCTTTTCGACTGCCATGCACAGGAAACTTCAGAATCAGGAAAGGGGCCACATGTTTGATGGAACCGGGGGAGAAAAACCGCTGAGGCCGCTGGCATAGTGATGTTATTGCCATTGAGAAGTATCCTGGCATGAGCAGGCAATCACTGAAGTGACAGCCACTGCAACGTCAGACTTGGTCAGCAGCTTCTGAATCTCAAGGAGCCAGCATGTCGACTCCAGATGTGTGATCTTTTTGCCCTGGGGCGTGAAGGTGTACTCTCGCACATCCTTAGCAAGCCGCAAGCCCTCGATGAAGCACTTACAGATGTTCTGGCTGTAGAGGGGCCCTGCGCTGCGCTGACATAACTTCGAGAGACAGGGCCTGCTCCCCGAATCAAAACCGAGCCATGGACGTCCATGACCATGTTGACGTAATCATCAAAACCGCGCAAGGTGCCCACAATCTCCTTGTCACCCTTCATAATGACCTGAGCCCGCATTTCTCGTGACAGCCATAAAGCCATCGCACTTTTCCCCCGTGTCGCTTCAGGAGCGTGGCCTTGCTGCTGGCCCTGGCGGCCTTTATTCCCATACGACAGACACATATCAAAAACATCTATTTAACACATGCAGAACACAACGACGACGCTACAAAAGCTACTAATGCTAGGATTCCGCAAGTAGCAAAGGAGTTGACAACTCGCTTGTAATACTGTACCCTCAATACATCCTACTGTCGGCTACTTTCGCGGTCCATGCCGGGCTGACACTATTTCTCTGCTAGGCTCTCCACCCAAATGCGGGATCCGATGCACTTGTCGATGAGGGCCTCGGCTTGGCGAGTTGTCACAAGCTTTTTCTTGACCAAGAACCTGCTGCTCGCCATTGCTTGCCGCCCCTGTTCGGCCCGTGGCCAGGGGCAAGTAGGAGGGCGCTGCCGAGATCGACGCCATCTCCACGGACCCGGTCTGCCTGAGCTCGAGGCAGCTTGGGCAGAAAACGAGTTAGAATGCAATTCGAGGATTCGAGCGCGCGGCCCGCCCGGCACCGGACCGTTGCTGTGGGGCGGCTCTACGTACCCCGGTCTGAGCCCAGACCCGACGGAGAAGCAAAGTCACGCGACCACGGCAGCATGCACGAAGAGATGGGCCTAGCTTGTGAAGCGGGGCGCGCCTTCTCCTCGGACCCACCTCAATCCGATTCTGGACGGAGCGTTTGTCCAGGACAATGCGGCTCAGGGCTCAGGGTGATCATCCGAGGAGGGTGCAAACTTCGCGAGGCGAGGTCGTACTGACTCGCTGCTGCAATTGGAGGTCCTCAGACACAGCAGACGGCTGCCATCCCGAGTGGCAAAACCGGTCGTTGCTGGGGAAGATGCTTGCCGCAAGCACAGCCTTTGCAGGAACACAAAATGACTAAAGAATCGACATGACATCGCATGAGATGTTCTGGAGGCTACACATGCAAAGCAAAATGTGGTTATGACTGGAAGGCAATCTGCGGCTATGTCGGAATGGGCTGAATATGGCTGAATGAAGCTCCTGCACTGCTACCTCGGCAGCAACTGGGGTGGAAGCGATCACCCCAAGTCTTGGGATCCTTGGGACACCTTAGGTCTCATAGAGTTTCGAAGGAATCGAAAAAGCTAGACCTTGCTGCTGCTCGGTGCTGTGGCGCGGACAAGCCACAGTCGCCAGGGTGGCATTCCCTTTCGCAGAAATGCTCCTGCGATTCGCGGCTTCTTCTGGTCAATGCCAGTAAGTATGTAGTAATTACGGCGCCCCTCAAACTTGCAGTGCAATGCGCATGTCCGCAAAGTGCTAAGCCAGCAGCTTTGTCCAGCACTAAGCGGCTTCTATGCAAGTGAAGATCTAGGGAAATATGCTTTGCCCACAGAATGGGAGCGCAACTGGCAGTGGCCTGACTATTGCCTGCCTTGCAATTAATTACAAGCAGGTTCTAAAAGCCAAGGAGCATCAGCTGCGAGAAAATAGCTCATGCTCTCTTCCAGGCCATGTCAAAAGCTTGGCTTTCAGCCTTACATGATCACGGCATGCCGTGGTCAGCAAGCCCGCTCGGAAAGAGATCCGAGATGCCTCGGCGACAGTGAACGCCGTCTCACGAATCCGAACACTCGTCGTTGCCTCTTGCTGCAACACTGCATGTAACACTGAACCAAAGCAAGAGACTGTCGTCGTTCTCAACCTCCTCCTCTGCTTCGGCAGTTGCTGTGGCATTCTCCTGTCCAGCTCGACTACTAGTAGCAGGACATTGGCATGTCGAATGTGAGCTGTTGCGCAAGGGTCAATGACACAATGCCAGAAGCCCGTGGAACTTGGACATTGGGTTCAAAATATCTCACCGCTGACTGAGCCGGCTAGGGCAGCTTTCTATGCTGGGGCATTGCGTGCTGCTGTAGTCAATGATTGTCAATTCTCCACATGGCAGCCCAAGGTAGCTTTGCAATCATCGGCCCAGCTCATCTGGTCTCTCAATCATACAACTTTCCGTGCATCACGGCACACATAGTTCTATTTCGGCCAGTGAGCCGGATGACAGACCGGCATCTGCTCTAAGAGTGTGACATGCACCGTTGTGCATCGCATGAACGGTCGAGGAATCTCCACGAATCTTGCCTACGCAGGACCCCTGCCACTGCCATGCCCATCCGACCCGGGCAAAGCATGCACATGACAGTCGCTGCCCTGTCCGGCGTCAATCGCTGGTCTCCATGAGAATGCCAGGCTTCGTTCGGGTCGTACTTGGTGCCGTCGGAATACCTTGGCTTGGGACAGGTCCCGGTCCATCAGGGTTCTTCAGAGCCAATCATATCCAATCTTTCGGCCACCAAGCTGCGTGATGTTGGCGATTGGGCACCAAGCGCCCTTGCAGCTCGTGCCTTCGGTCGATATTTTTCCACAGCATAGAGTCTCGAGACATGTTAAGTTACACGCTACATACACTACATGATTCTGGACTCTAGACTTGTCTAGACCATCTAGCCTTCAGTCTCGCCAAGTGTACATGACTTGAACCTCAGCCCCGGGCATTGTTGCTCATCGAGGGCGCAGTAATCATCTGCAACGTTCGGTCGTTGGCACACTTTCGTGGAAACGGACATGCTCACATCTTTGGGTCCCGCACCTGCTGGGGCAATGCCCGAGACGGGAAAAGCACTTCCGCAAGGGTCTGCTTTGTTCTTGAAGGCTTTCACGCACCTCACTCAAGCAGTCTTCTACCAATTCTAGTTGCCTGAGCGTGCGGCTCTCTGAATCACAACCCAAGTCGCTTTGGCCCAGGGCACCACGTCCCACCGCAGCCTCCGCAGCGGGTCTTTTCCGAGCATGTGGAATCCTTCGCAACATCTGCGCAGGCACCGCACCTGGCATCAGCCGCTTTCAATTCCGAAGAAGTACTTGCCGTCGTACAAGAATACAGAATAACTAGTTCGAGCAACTTCTGGCCATGGGCAGAACTAGCCAGCGCAAACAGGATGCCGCTCTTACTACTTACTACGCACGCAGACTCAGACATCGTCGGACTTCTACATATCTTAGACAGCATACTTGCGACTGATTATGTCATTATGTCCTTACGCTCTTCTGCTTTGAGGTCGGCCACATACCATCTGCACCAGTCTTTCCACGATAGCAGCAAAAGCCGTTGGTATCGTCCGGTGCCACGTACACGTTCTCCTCACGACCGTAGCTGTCCTGCCGAAGTGTAGATGGGAGATGGAGGCCACGTGCTTCATCAGCGTGAGAACAGCAAGAAGCCCTCGTCCGACCTCTTCAATTTTGAAGTTGGATGCATAGCCTGCTCGGCACCACTCCTTACGCTGCGCTGTGCATGGCCGCATGCATCAGCGAGTAAAGACTTGTCACTCCCTGTCACTGGCAAGCCCATGTTGAGTTGGCAAGATTTGGCAAGCGTCTCCCTTGCAGCTGCTGCATGCGTCTTTGGACCTGAGCTCATAGAAACGTCTTCGCAGCTCCTCCTCCTCCTCCTCCTCCTCCATGAGAGCTATATGCATGAGTGGGCTCAAGCAAACTACCTGGATCTTTTTAGATGCATGATGATGCATGTACACACACCCAGTAATACACAGAACAACTCAAGCGAAGTGGAGCTTTTGACCAATATGCTTACGCTTCATCTGAGCCCCTGGACGAAGCGCAGAAACTGTCACCTGAGGTCTGCGAAGGTCATGTTGCATCTGCCAGCAGACTTCATCTTGTGTGGTCTTAGGCCTGCACTGACGGCAATGCCTTTGGCGAATGCTGTGCCACACATGTTGCCAGGATCAGCGGCACTCATAACCTCACAAACGGCTGCGCTGCACGCACCATGACAGCACGTGTCATGATTTATGAGCCTGGCATTGGATTCTGTGCTATAGCTAGGCTTCGTTGCCGTGGTTCCCTGCGCTCTGGAGCCTTCAGTGAGCGTTCCTTCTTAGGATCCCGGTCAGGAGGCCAGAGCTGCAGAGACCCAAGGTGGAGTTTTGGCAGAGCATGTCATTGACATGTGTCTGAGTGGATGTGTCTGGGGGCACCACGCATTTGGTTTCACACCAGGTCCCACGGCACTCGCCGAGGCCTGCAAGAGTTTGCACAGCGGGGAACCTCCCATTTCGTCGCAGCTGAAGCCGAGGACCGGGCACATGCTCTTTCGGGAGCACTTGCTCTTGTAGGATGCAATGGACATCGGATAGCAGGTGCCACAGGTGTCTTTCGGGTTTTCTCCGCTGAAGCAGCAAGTGCCACCTTCTTCCTGCTCTCTTTGATCTTGCTTCAACGTCTCGTTGATTTTGCTGATCGTCTCCCCCACATCATCGTCGCCACTGTCTTCAATGGTTTCAGATGGATCGGGCACGTAAATCTGCACCGTGTCGCTTTCCGCCTTGGGCGACTCCGGGGTCTCCACATCTTCCTCGTCTGCGGCTTCGGCAGTGCCGTTCGATGCCACTGGCGTGATCTCTGCAGCCACCGAGTCGCTGATGTTGGAGTCAGAGTCAGAGGCAACGACCGTTGTCACATCGCTTGCGTCGGCTGCGTCAGTTGCATTGGCCTCCGTCAGATTGTGCTCCGTGACGGGGCTCTCCGACTGCAGGCCACGAAGTTGGCGCAAAGAGAGGCTGCATGCTTCGCCTTCGCAAACGTCATCTGCAGACAGTGGCACTTCGATGTCCTGCGACATGCAGACCAGACGGACAGTGCACTCGTAATTACTCTAGCAATCTCTAACACCTCTCAACACCGACCTGACAAGAGCTTGAATGTGGCTCTCCTGAGGGGGTGTTGCCGCCAAGACGGCGCTGATGGCCAGGATCACATGCAATGACTGCCGCAGCATAGCCGTGAAATAGTAACTAGTTGGGAAGGCAAGCGCTGTTGGCTCTTGTATCGTGAAAAAAAGCGCGTTTCGCACCTTGATCCGGGAATGCAGCACAAGCCGAACCGGCAACCGGGGACAAGGCACTGATCACTGCTACAGGGACCATCAAACGGCAGGTCTAAGCTCACAATCAAACAACAGTGCGTCGCTGGCCTGGCAATCCAAAGCTTTGCCACATGGCTGGCTGCACGAGAAGCTGGCCTGCCCACACAGCCGGTGCTCCTGATTCGAAGGATAATGTCAGGTCCATTGTGCCAGATGGACAAACTCTGGAGCACAGGCACCCAGCACAGGCAGTGTGCTCTTGCTACCTTGCAGCAAACCAAAATACGCAGTCGAGCAGAGGTGCCCACGAGGTGCAGAGCTGAGTAGAGAAAGCAAACATCGCAGCTGCGAGTAGCTGCGCATTCAAGATCTCTGCTCTTCTCACCGTGGCACCCTCGCTTCGTTGTCGGGAATGGGCTCTTCGCGGATGCGAATGCCCTTTTTCATGAGGGCGGAGTTGCAGGTGGCTCGGGAGATCTCGTAGGGTGCCACGGTGCCAAAAGGACAAGATGGAGCAGCAAGATGAAAACTATGATGGCGAGACACATTGTGAAAGAGCGACAGCTCGCTCGGCAATGCACTCTTCGAGGAACATGGCCGGTAGAGCAACGAATGTTTTACGAGACTGCTGGCTAGCAGCACCTCAATGACTCATGAATAAGACTTCTTGACTATCCATACAAAACACAAGCACAGAAACTGGCAGATCATACGGTGCATACGCGAAAACTAGAGCTTCAAGTTGCTCTTGGCACTGCAGTGACTCGTCCTCCTTCTTGCCACAGAAACAGGCTTCCAGCGACGTCTCTGAGCAAGGTGGGCAAGGACCCTCGTGGCACCTGTGAGGTCAAGCTAAAGCAAACAGGACACGGAGCTGTCAGAATCCTCTCCGCGGCTCTCCGCCTCGCTTTGCAAGCATGTATGCCTGAGGCATCAAGTGGATGCAACATGCGCAAAGGCTCGCAAGTACGAGGTGTAGCTTCCCTGATACTGGGTTTGAAGCCGCAGCTCAGAATTTTTCCACATGGCTGGCCGCAAGACCAGCGCTTGGGATCGCCGCACCTGCGCTTTAGTCAGTGCTTCAGATTCGGTGAAGCCCCCCAACGTCCAGAACAGTGCTTCCTCGTCGTTTCCGTCTGCTCTCGGCCGCAATAGCAGCTCCCAGGACCCCCAACCTGCCACAAAACCAGGTCATAGGTCAGGCACGCGAGTCTGTTTGGAATGAGACAGAATAAGGCAGAAACAGTGAACAGATCTGGCTGGCCGACACAAGTCACGAGGTGATGAGATGACTGTTGTGTTTCGAATCATTGAACGCTTGCCACTTCGGAGATATCAGCTTGGCTTAGCACCGCGGTGCAGCGGGGACAAGGCCCCGGATGACAAAGCTCTGGGCAGGGATGAGGGCCTTGGAATTCCCACGTTTGATACTGAAGGTCAGATGAAGGAAAGAAAGAACATTGGGTCGCCACATCCTCGATTGCGCTCGCACACCTGGCTCTTCCGACATCTTCCGTCTTCCGACATCTTCCGACATCTTCCGACTTCCACCAGATTGCAATGACTTTTGCAGATCCCACCTCGCCACAGCTGTGAGCTAGCCTGGCAGTCGGACGAGTCTTCTGGCCAAATTGGCCGACAGACGCCGAGTTCTGGCTGAGGAGCCAGTGCGGACTCAGCTCCGGCTCTGGCAACTTCTTGCAGTAGCAGCTGTACCTCAGAGCGGCATGCACCGGATATGCGCTCCCTCTATCTTGAAGCCCCAGTCTCATGACTTCGTGTTTTTTGGGTAGCCCTGTGCAAAGTTTTTGTAATGCAAGCAACTAGTCTGTGGTATGAGAGTTAGGGCCTGCGATACCTCGTGCATATAGCAACAACTTCACACAGCACGACTCCGAGCAAATTCACGTCAGCGAAGAAAATTGCACGGAGCTCACTGTGAAGGGTGCATTGCAAGTTGGCAGCTTCTACCGACCCATAAGCCAGCACCTCCAGGTCCTCCTCTGTACTGAAACCTGCTAGTAACAACAGAAGTTCCTCGGAGGATGCGCTCGGAAGGGAAAGGTGGCTGCTCGGCGAGAAACCTGATCTCTTATTGGTGTAAGTGTGTGACTTCTGCGTGGTACAGTAACTATGTGCTTCTCATGTGAAGAATTTTGCGAAATCACTGTCAAATGCTTCTAGGCGGTTGTAGTCGTCTGCGGTGCGGCGCGCGGATTCCACCCCGTACTACGTGACCAGCGGTATGAAGACCGCATAAATTAATACGCCACTTCCACTTGAATGTGCATTCTGTGCTTCTCCAGAACTGATGGAGGGAGCGGAAGTCTTTGTGTGTTTTGGTCAAGCCGGTGATGACATATTTGTGCGCGGCACAGTCACTGTTGGGGTGACCCGAATTTTTGGCATGTGTGTCGATGGTGAGGAGTGTGTCGTTGGTGAAAAAGACTACTTTGTGTGGGGTTGGTGATCTCGGGATTAAAGTCGGGGTTGCAACGAACCGCTGCAATCAGTGCAGGAGTTGATCGGCCCTAGATGGCAGTGCCTGCCGCAAGGGCGGTGTCGTCGGTTGCTGCAAAGCCGAAGCAAAAATCCCTCGTTGGCTGTGAGCCCCAGGTCCACACAGCGCCATATCATCCCGTGAACATCCCTATTAAATGCCAGTTTTTGCGGAGCGTGCTGCCCTGAACCTTGCACTGTGACCTTCGCAGCCTATCGTCGATAGCTGCCTGCACTGGCGTGTCATAAAGTTTGTATACTGTATTGAGACGTGATATTGGTTTGTCTGTCAAGGGGCGCTTGCCTGTGTAACCTCATTGACCTCCACGATGACGGCTTGGTGCCGACCCCGGGACCAGCACCGCAGCACGGCGCTCACAGCACTACGAGCCGGGATCACACAAAGATGTCAGAAGGCACTTCCGCAAAGGCAAAACCCAATGACTGAAACAATGCCTCCCTGCGAGCGAAGCCACTCTGGGACCCACTGCAAAATTCAAATGGCTGGAAAGGGTCAAGTCCGAGTACTAGCCATGCCCGGTCTCAACACGAGACTCGTAGGGCAGGCCAACCAGCCAAACAGAACAGGCACAAACCTTTGCGGAACAACCGCAGCAGTGCCGAAAACGGTCTCCGCATGCCTGTTCGCATTGGTTGTGTGGCGCATACACTGTGAAAATGCTACTTGTAGGGCTGTCGATGCATGTGAGGTTGGTGATGCTGGGAATAATAAGATGTGGGGCGGTGATCAGCGAAACAACGTGAATGTTTGGGGTTTGCCAGACGCATCGTATTCCTCCGCGGCGTTGTGATGGTGTAGCCGTCGATCATGACTCGGTCTGACTGCTTCATGCGGGTGTCTTTAAGAGCCAGCTAGCCAGCTGCGGCGATGTGTGCGCATGATGCTGACCAGCGTGAGGAGCTTGCCTGCTTCTAGCAGACCCGTAGCGTTCCAGAAGGCGCCGCGAAGGTGGTGATGGGAGCTTGTGCGTATGTCGCGTTTGGTTCGTCCTTTCTGTGAGGGCTGGGCAATCAATGTGTGTTTTGAACCAGTGGGCCCTGGGGGAGGAGGATGGTTGGCTGTGCTGTTGTTGCGTGCGACCTTGGGTTTGAGCTTGACATCCGGCTTCGTTTGGTGTCGGCTGTTCTTAGCTGTCGCCGGCGGTGTGCTTATGGCTCGCGGGGCCGTATCAAGTCAAGCCTTTGCGTGCGGACGGTCCGGGAGCCCTTGCTCTACCCGGGACGGTGTGCAGCCGGTCGGACTCAGTGTGGGGGGGTGCAGAGTGGAGTGCGTAGGAAATTCAGGGTCTATTTGGCGTGTGCGTTTGGTCAATACTGATACATTAAATGTAAATCGGCTCTGGACTCGGGAGACATTGGCGGCAATCTTAAGTTCTTCGTGTAATACACTGCCTTGCCGTGCTGCGGAGCTGCCGCTTGTGCTGGGGGAGTGCAAAAAAGCGTAAGGCTGTGTTGGTGTGTGAGATGGATGTGGGCGTGAGTGGTGGGGTGGCAAAGTGTGCACTACCCCGAAAAATCCGACGTGTATTGTACCAGTAAGGGTTGGAGATGGCTAAGCCTTCCCGGCTCACCTTTGCAAGGTGTGCTAGATGTGCTAGCATGCCACAAACTCATTCGCTCCGCTTTTCTCCTGCACAGGCACAGTTGCCTCCACTGTGAGAGGGTTCCTGAAAACGCAGTGGGAAGATGTGAGCGCTGCCTTCTTTTGCTTGTGAGGACGTCCGAGGCGGCCTTTTCTCGGCACCGCTGTTGTGGAGGTCGATCCACTGCGTCGTTGTACTGGGAAACACGAAACCACGATTGACGAGGCTGATCTTAGCGTTCTCCACTGCTTGTGGCCATGCTTGTGAGGCAAGGAGACGATGTGCATCCGCGGGTTTGTCCCTTGTCTGGGTGGTGTTTGTGTCCAGCTGCACCTTGTGCCAGCGACGAACAACAGCACGGGAACATCTTCTTCCGGGCCGCGAAAGTTGGGGTTGGGACTGTGAGGATGGAGATTGGGGCGAAGCCACTGCCCATCACTGTCGTGGTGAGGTCCCAGTCGATGTAGCCCTAACCCTAGCTGGCTCAAGGCCGGCTGCCTCGATCTGTGAGCACATGAGGTTGTTTTCGGTCCAGGCAGCATGCATTTTGAGCACCTCACTTCGAGCTCCAGCGAGCTCGTTGCCGACTTGCTGGCCCAACTTCACCTGCACGGTCTCCGTGATCATCAGCGAACACTCTGCCGGTGTCACCGGCTGTGAGGAACCAGCCGCTGAGGAAGGCCAGGGCATGTCCTCATCCCGGGGTCGAACCACTGGCGCATCGACGGACCATCTCCCGTGAGCCATCTCTTGCCGTTGCTTGCACCTTCAGAACTTCCATGCCGGTCATCACTTCCAGAACCTGATCAG